TAACTATACTATAATAGGCCCCAAAATCCTCTTCTCATTGTTAAGGCCCCTTCATTAGTCGTAGTGTTTTCGGATGTGGGCATGGGGCTTAAGGTTGTCGTGTTTCAGGACTGCGAATCGATCTTCATTCATGTTACGAACTCCAAAGCACAGCCCTGCCACTAGAAATCGCAGATCTTCTTGCTGTACTTCGGGGAGCTAGGGTTTGGGGTTTGAGATCTAGGTTAGGAGCCTTGTCCGGGCGAGAGAGTAGTATAGAAGCTTTAATGACTACCAATACCATTCATTAGGGTTCCTATCATAAACATAATGGCGATAATGTATCACAGGACCTCTTTTGATTGTTACGGTTCCTGTGGGTGCCCTAAACCCTAAACCCTAATGTTGGAAACTCTGAGCTTGATGCATCTGGCTTCCGCCAGGCGCCTTCAAGGTAAGGCTCTTGAGTTCGTGTTACGAAGGTTCTTGGTCTTGGGGATTCCAGAAACCCCAAGCCCGAAGATGCTAATGGCCATTTCTTCATTAGGGTCCCTTTCTTATAAGGGTGTACTATATTTGGGACCTAAATGGCCCCGTAATCTAGAGAAGTACCCTAATGGCCGCTGATGTTTCCGCGATCTGTTGGGCCACTGCTTCCTTGGTTTCTGTTGCTCCGAATTCCGACCCCAAGGTTTCTACTCGACGGTTTAGAGTTTAGGGTTTAGGGACTTTTTTGGGGCTGAGGTCTTACGAAACCCTTACACACCTGTATACAAATCACTGCAGAACCTGTCTAATACCCCCATAGACCCGAATCTTTCTGTAAGACCCTCTCAAGCCTTTTGGAAGATCCTTTCAAAGACCCTGTGGAAAAACACCCTTGCAGAACCCTACAAAACCCTGCCAAGCCCTTGAACAGACTTGACCCAGACCAAACACTCCAATCTGACACCTAAGCCCTAAACCCTAAGCCCTAAGAACGTTTGGGGCCCTGCCAGGGCTTGCCGAAGCTCCGTCCCCGGGTGCTGCAGGCCTTTATGTTTCTTGTGAGCTCTTTGTCGGATTCTTGCGGCTTTACTGTGTTGGAAGGGTTTAGGCATTTTGGGGTTCTATGGATTTTGTAGTTTGATATGTGCATTCTTGAGGGCCACTTGGGTTCCACAAGGGTTACCATAGGAGTAAACGACTTGGAGGTTTGGCTTGGGGCTTTTAGAGGTTTGTTCTGGGGCGCTCCTTACGCATGGTTCTTCATTTTCACAAGCAGTGTTTTCACTTTTGGTGAAAGGGGCTTATGGTTCTGGGGTTGGATTCAGGGTTAGAGGTTGAGGGTTTAGGGTCTAGGCGGCTCTGTAGGATTGCAAACGGAAATATGGTCGAGACCGGTCCCTACATTACTGTTGTTGTCACCATTGTCGTTATCTTCTTTGGCTTTATCATTGTCATTGTTGTCATTACAATTGGCTTTACGTGTATTTCGCTACTATTTACGTTGCTGTTTGGTGCTATGATTCGCAGCTACCAGGATCTATTGCAACTCCTAGTTGTCTTGTCATGGTTCCCAGCCTGCTTTCGATTGTCATGGCGCTGTCGTGGCACATCGGGAACCGAGGAAGGACCACTAAGTCGTAAGCGTCGGTAGGCAGGTCGGGTTCCGATTTGCGGGCCCGCCGACTCACTGCAAGGCCCCCAGCCGTGCCTAGCCGAAAACCCTACATCTCGTGGGGAGGCGGCCAACTTGGCTGCTGTGGTCGCTCTCCCGAGGGATGAGCCTGGAGGCTCCAGAGCTCGTAGTTGCGAGTCCCGTCCATCAATGGCATGTTTTCGGCATGTTCTTCGGTTTGAAGTTTGAGTTCAAGGTCAATTGAAGTTACACTGTCTGTCCCTGCCACTGCCAATTCCGCTCCACTGCCAGAGAAGAAGTCGTCGACGTGGAAATAGCCGCAGCCGCAGCAGCAGCAGCTG